AAACAAACAAACAAACAAATAAATAAATAAGCTCTTCTGAGCCTGTCACTCTCTTGCTTAACATTGTTAGAAACGTAGCTTCCAGGGGCTCCTCTGAAAGAGATGAAAATCTTTACAAGGCTCTGTGTGATCTGATCCCAGCCTGTCCTCCTGCCTTGAAGCATTTGCTCCAGCTGCTCTCCCTTTCACCTGCAGCCCCAGGTAACTCTGATGCGCCCTTCAGAGCTCAGCTCAAACAGCTCTTCCTCAAGAAAGTCTCTCCTGACCCTGTCATCCATGTTTCTCATTTGTATGTTATCTGAACATTTTTACATCTCCCTCATAATGCTTAAAAATCCCAATTCAACAATTGGATAATGCATTGCTTAATGGCCTGTCATCTCCCACCAGAGGTGCTGTGAGGGCAGCAATCATATGTCATTTACCGTCTCCATGAAGTAAGTAAGCCTTCAAAAATCTGCTAAATCAATGAAATTTCTAGTATTAGTATCACCACGTCAGGTTCAGCGGAAGACCTCCACTACCTCAGCGGACACAGAAGCCAACAAGTACAATGTCTTCAAGGTCCTTTCTATTACTTAGGCATCTAGGCCCATCTAAGCCGTCCTCTATCCTCTCCAGTCATTCGCTCTGAACGCCTTCTCTTGGACATCTCTCTTCCTGAATCTTTACCTCTCTTGCTTCTAGCTCCTTTCCATCAGCACTGAAAAATCAATACATTATCTCCTACCGTAAAACAACAAGAACAATAACAACAACCAAAAAAACCCCAAAAGTCCCTTAACCCTATGCTCTCTTATAGCTACTGTTCACTCCTGCCTCCACCATCCTGGCTTAAGCTTCTGTCTTTGCTCACCAGTGTCTCTCACCCTTCCTCCACTGCATAGGGAATCAAAGAGAAATTCTTTCTGTGACAGGTTTACGCAATCACATGCTATGAGCTCCATTTATATCTCTCATCTTCAGTCTTGGCACTCCTTCCTTTGCACAGCACCCTCCAGCCACATGAGATTTTCGCTGCTTCCTGAAATGTGCAGTGGGTTCTCTTTTGTGCTGGGTCCTCGTCACATGCTGTTTGTTTTTACAAGAACACTCCTGGCTCTTTCTTCACGTCCTAATTTTTGCTTGTTGTTCAAGACTCTGCTTGGATACACCTTAGGGAATCTTGTCTGATACTTGCAGTGTGGGTTAGGTACTCAGTTCATGTGTTCTCTGTACTTCCATTTCAAAGGACCCCTCACACTGTATTGTAATTGTCCATTTACTTGTCAGTCCTCCAATGGACAGTGAGCTCTGTGAAAACAAGTGTCATCTACTTGTTCTCCAACTATTTTCCTCGCTGGCGAATTGTAGGCACTCATCATTTTGTTTAATTGATTTAAAGTATACTCAGTAATTCTGCTTTTATGGAGGTAAACTATTGGTTGAATGACCCAAAGGAGTGGGCGTGAAAGGTAAGAAGCATTTGCACTTAGAACGCCTGCATACGATGGTGGGGATGGTTGGGTAACCACTCAAGGTCACTAAGAAAAGTTGGCGGAGCTCACATTTGAACTGCCCTTCCCCACTTCCACTCCCCATATTTTATCATATTTTTCTTCTTTTTAAATTTTATGTATTAAGTTTGCTGGGGTGACACTGGCTAATAACATTATATAAGTTTCAAGCGTACAATTCTATATAATACATCATCTTGAGAGTATTATGCTAAGTGAAATAAGTCAGACAGAAAAGGACAAGAGCCATATGATTTCACTCATGTGGCATATAAAACAGAAAGCGAGAAATGAACAAACAAACAAACTCATGAACTTGGCTCTCTTGATCTTAAGATAAAGAGAAGCAGAACGGAGGGCGATGAAGCTGGCTCTGGAACAGTGAGTTTAAGGGAAGGAAATCTATCCACCTAAATGCAGACAAGGACTGCAGTGTAATAGAAAGGCTAGGGCTAGGGCACCCTAGTAGATGTGGTCTCATCAAGGTACAACTTGAGACTGCAAAAAAGGACAAGATCTGTGAGGGAGAGGAGGAAAGTGATAAGTATTTAGTGACTGTCTACAAAAAGCCAGGCACCACTTGGGGCTTATATATTTTATCTACTCTGAAGGTACAAAAAATATTTAGAGGAAGTGCTAAACTCACTCTTTAAAATAAATAGAAAACAAGCAAAACAAGGGGTATTACAATGGAGCTGCATTCTCTGTACAGATGATGCAAATCCAGTTATACGGGGTGCCAAAAAGATATATAACTTGTACTCATCTTTTGTTATCAGTATATATTATTACAATTTTAATACA